CCGTGCTGCAGGGACCCGCCGCCGACCTCGCCATGGGCAAAGGCGACCCCAACAAGCCGCGGGGCAAGATGTCCTCGTACGCCTACTTCGTGCAGACCTGCCGCGAGGAGCACAAGAAGAAGCACCCGGACTCGTCCGTCAACTTCGCCGAGTTCTCGCGGAAGTGCTCGGAGCGGTGGAAGGTGAGTGGGGCCGGGCCCACCCTCGCCCCTGCCGCGGCCTGCCGAGGGACCGTCCCCGGGGGCCGCTGCCGCTTTGATAAAGCACCTGGTGACCCACTAAGGGCCGATCTGGACTCCTCTCCTTTCCCGTGTGTCCTCAGACAATGTCCAGCAAGGAAAAAGGGAAGTTTGAAGAAATGGCCAAAGGAGACAAAGCTCGTTACGACAGGGAGATGAAAAACTATGTTCCTCCCAAAGGCGAAAAGAAGGGAAAGAAGAAAGACCCCAATGCTCCTAAGAGACCACCGTGAGTGTTTCTCTGAGCAAAACATTTAAAAATCAAGTACTGGTTATCGCAGTCTGACGCTTAACCTCAATCGCTGTCTCTCGTTCTAGATCTGCGTTCTTCCTTTTCTGTTCTGAACATCGCCCCAAAATCAAAAATGACCATCCCGGCTTGTCGATCGGAGACACGGCAAAGAAACTGGGAGAAATGTGGTCCGAACAGTCGGCCAAAGATAAACAGCCGTACGAACAGAAGGCTGCGAAGCTAAAGGAGAAATATGAAAAGGTACAGTGAGAGTGGTAAAATCACTAGGTACGGTTGTAGAGCCTCGGGGTAAACGTGCGCCCGCTGCTCCGCACCTCAGCCACCTATGGGTTCCCTAAGTCCAGGTGTTCACCTCAGACTGTCAGCACCAGGAGGGTAGAACCGGGTGATGAGGTGTGGCACGGGAGGTATCCGGAACCCTCGCAGTGAACCCGGACGTGGTTTTTACACGTCCGGAGATTTTCACCACTAAGATTCTTTACTTCCGAAATCCAGGTCCACCCGCATGTTAAAATACACTGCCATACCCCAAAACACTGCTCAAAAATTTCTTAAAGCTGTCCGGATCGTGCTTTTCCTTGCCAGAAGGTGCAAGCGTGATGGTCTCGAGGTGGAAACCCGGCTTTTCCGCACGCGCCATGCTTGATCTGCATGGTACTCAATCACCAGAGCAGTACAAATGCGTCGTCAGAGTTACGTCGCCAGCAACTGAAGGGCGTTTTTCTTGCAGGATATTGCAGCGTATCGTGCCAAGAGCAAGAGCGATGCCGGGAAAAAGGGCCCAGGTAGGCCTGCAGGATCTAAGAAGAAAGCAGAACCAGAAGAGGAGGAGGAAGAGGAGGAGGAGGAAGATGAAGAGGAGGAAGAAGATGAGGATGAGGAATAAATGAATGTCCTGCTGTAAAGATTTATGCTCAAAATCCAATATTTTGCTAAGAATGTGAACTCGAGTGCAGCTCGTTGTTAGCTTCAGTATAAAAATCTGTACAGAACTGTGTATAGGTGATGTGGTTTTGTGTAGGGAGACCTCTATTTTTAATGTAAGTGGTAGCCGAGGGCTGCTACAGTTGGGTTAAAAAAAAAAAAGAAAAAAAAGGAAAAGTTGTGGAATGTTTCTGCATATTTAATGGTTTTGTTGAAATTCAGTGACTGATAGCCAGGTGTTTCTCTAGAGTGAAGCGAAACAAAGGAGGTAGCTTAATAGCTGATCTTATATTTTGTAGTATATTGCATTGTATTACTTTTTTAACAGTTTTGTAATAAAATGTTGTACATGATTATTGGAGTCTTGATCGTTCCCGAGAGGCTGAGTGCTCCTAGCGTGCCGAAGCCTGACCCAGGATAAGGCTCTGCCTTGTTCTTGGGCTATTGCTCTTGCTGCAGAACGGGCAGGTCTTGAAATGCTGACTCTTGGAGTTTATGCTGAGGTTGAAGCAACTTCTTTGCTCTTCAACCATAATTCTCTCCCCCGCTTACACCACCCTTAGCGGTAATTGATGTTTTCCTTATGCAAGCATTTCCTTGTATCGCCTTCTGAGAGAAAAAAGTACCCAAGCTGCTGGTACTCTTGAATGGGCTTCCCCACCTACCCTCCCACCCCCTCAGACCGCTGAAGCAGAGAGCTTAAAGCGGGGTGTGAGCCCATCGTCGGGGAATCTCAGCAACTTGCTCCCCCGGAGCTCAAAGCACCGGCTGTCTCTGCCATCAGGATAGGAAAGTTGCCTGTGAGACAGATGCGGTTAGAGGTCTTGCTTCCCAGATGTTCCCTCCTCCTTCCCTCTCTCCCTGGCCCCAGTATCAGTGGGTTGTCGTAAAATACACGGCTTGCAGCACAGCATGAAAAATGCTGGAACGTTATCTCCGCGCGTGCCGAGAGGTTCCCGCAGAAAGAGAAGGCATTCCTCAAGCGGATGCTCTCTGTATCCCTGCTTCTTCACGGCGTTAACCAGAGCACCGGAGACGCTACTTCTTGGTCTCTGGTTTTTACGCAGAGCAGTACGACTGTTTAAAAGCCTTAAATCTGACAATCCCACAGCTAAACTCAGAGATTCGCTTTAATTTGTTAAATACTAGCCTTGCACAGCCCAGCGCTGAAAAACGCTGAATGCCTGGGATCGTTGCGTACTTGTATAGGTGTCGTGGTTTGACTCCGGCTAG